CATGGATATTTTGGTACGTACACACGTCGGCTCCGTGTACTCGGTAGTATACACATTCGTGTCATCTGGAAAACGCCTTCGCTAATTTTGAATTTTTTGTTACTTTCGGTTTTTAAAGCTAATATATTTGTTGTCTTTTAAAAGCTGGGAATGAATTAAGGTAAACCAGTGGCGTATTTTGGTTGAAGAGTCATGAGGAAAGCAGAGCGGAAGCGCCAAATCCAACCCGAGTGAAATCAGGGGAGAAAATAGTTGCCAACAAGGGGACGCCAGCCTCTGTCCCAGGAGCGCCAGGGAGGAGAGAGGGGGGGGGGGGGGCGACCGCCCCCTCGCAAAATATACCACTAGATTAGATGTTAGAAATGAATTTCTATGAATGAAGAGCTTTGGCAATTGAAAGGGTGCCACAACGACAGGGCATGAGGGCACAACGACAGGGCATGAGATATTTTCAATATGTCTCCCCCTGGTAAATCAGTAGTAAATCGTAGATTCCGCCCGCATGCTGAATATGGTGGTGCGAGCGAGCAACATCCGTTACCCAAGTTCACTTCAATATACTGTTACTGGGCTTCCAAATCCCACTTATTCCTGTCGGGTGACACGTTCTTGTTGCTCCCCTCGCGGTAGGATCTCTCCAAATCCTTTCTTACTGCTACTTAGGCTGTTCTTCGCGGAGGAGCCCTTTCCCTCGATCCCTCTATTTGAATGCACGAGCTACATAAATATGGAGACTCACGTTACGGAACGTTCCTCCATCGGGGCACAAGACAGATGAGGGAGGCTGGGAATCCCCACGAAACCGTTCCCGGTCTTCATCCGACGATCTTCCTCGCTCTGAACTCACCCGAAAATTCGCATCTCATATTCGTCTATCGAGGACTCCATAGACTTGATAGGCGCCCAGTCGAGACCGTACGTAGTCTACCTGCACTGAGTCCTTCGTCTGTCTTCAAGTCTGCCCAGCCGAAAATAAAGTAATAAAAATAAAACCGAAGCACTTCGACGAGATATCTGAACGTTATCACTTCTGGGTATTTTTCCGCATCAGCCGAGTACAGGGTGTCCACGAATGTGGAACCTATTTTAAATAATTAACAGATGAGGTGCCGTGCAATCCACTTTAAATTGGCACCATTCGATTGTCGGAGGATGGGAGCTTTCTGCTTGTTTTCTGCTGGTGACTTCGTTCTATTGTAGATGTCGAACGGTCTTAAGCAGTTGCGTGCCCAGAAAATCCCAATGGGTGGGTGGGGGGGTTGACAAGTGCAAAATTGATAATCCACCCTGCATATATGGGCAACATAATTTTTTTTTAAATCGAACCTGTAAAGTGTTTCTCAAGGGGGGGGGGGGATTATGCCACAGCCCCAACCCCCTTGGACACGCCATTAGTCTTGAGGAACGTGAATTTATTTTCGATATGTTTTATCGAACGTGTTCTGAGAGACTTTCGCTCTCGTTTGGAGGCGAGAAACATTCTGACGAGAAAATCCTCCAAAACCCGATCGCGAAGCCTGACAACACTGCAGCATTCCCCGATCGTTCGCGCCAAAAGAGAAGCGAGGAAGAACTCGAGCTCGTTGCCCGCGAGATTCGGTCGACCTCAAAGCGATTCCGTCAGAGATCGAGGAATGGATTTCTACGTCACGTTCGAATATCTCCAAGAAAGAGTTCGGATGTCGTGGAAACGATCCGGTTGAGACGCGTTGCCGCGGTGACGTCGTGATCATCTCGACTCACTTCGATCCAGTGGCGTAGCCAGGTTTTCGTCAATGGGGGGGCTAATGGGGGCTAACTTCGCCTCAGTGGGGCGGACGCATTTCGACCAGAGTTGGGGGGACTTGAACCAAACTTGGGGGGACTGAAGCCCCCCCCCCCCCCAGCCCCCCCTCGCTACGCCACTGCTTCGATCCTCGTGGGTTTTCCTTCTTGGGACGAGGCGATCACTAGCTCGGTGACCGACGCCCACGCAGGAGTTGTGGGAAGTTTCATAAGGATCGTGTTTTCGTCGGCCGCTTGGAATTTTATAGTTTCCGGATTGAATTCGTATCACTCCCCCTATAGTGGAGAATAGAGAAAACACATTTCCAGAGGTTCCTCCTCAGAAAGTGAAGGAGAAAACTACCCATGGGTAAGATGTCACTACCTGCAATCCATCGATTGCAGATAGTAGAGATAGATAGAAAGATGGTAGAGGGGGTACGAACAGGACCGGTCCTAGCTATTTCGGCGTCCTGTGCAGAGATTCCCAACGCTGCTCCCCTTCCCCCCGAAGGGAGAAGGGTCAATCCCTATCGTCCAAAAATACGCCGAATATAAAAGGCATTTCTTCTTTCTCCAGTAAAACTGAGGGTGGCATTCATTATTGCTCCATTCAATCTGGCACGTTTTGGCGCCCCTGGTGAATTTGCGCTCCGTGCGGGGGCACATCTGGCACATGCAGCCGGCCCTAAGTACGAATTCAATTCGGAAACAGTGTGTCGTTCCCGTCGGGTTGATAAGGATTAGTTTTCATTTTCAGCTTGTATGCGGCAGTAAAATTTGAATAACGATGGTTTTATTCTTATAGGTGTAACAGCCTCTCTGCCGTAACGTTACATTACGTTATGACTAAATATCTAAATGCAGACACATTTCCTTCATAATGAAAAATTTCCTACATATTTCATCAGAGTAAAAAGTCGGAGACAGTCGCTGTAAGCGAATGTCATATTCCAAGAGGAAATATTTTCCGTCTCTCTTGCCTTTAGACTCTGTCAAGAGTATTTTACTTTAAAATGCAACGGAACTTAAAATGACTGCGGATGCTTCAGCAGATTTTACGGATATGCAATGAAGCCTATGACATCTTGATTTTTCGTTCTCGTCAGCGTGACGAAAAGCAAAAATATTTCTGTCGAAGGCATTCTCGTCCATAATTTCGCTGACGATATCACCATCGATTCAGAACCAAGGAGAACATACCGACCACGTCTTAACATAGAAGTATGCATAAGGAAGGAAATTCCCAGAAAGATTTTCAACTTAAACGTTTGAACAATACTTTTCCACGATTTTTGGAATATATATTCATGCCCGCAAAATTTAAATTAAGTCTTGCTGTGAAGCAAGGGCATGTTGGCCACTCTCTACAGCCAAATTAGTCCACAGATTCAGCGGGATTTGCAGATCTGTCAACCCATCTATCCACCACATCAATAGGAATTCATAATCCATAAATCACTCCATAAATTCACTTAGATTCATTCAATTGTTCGAATGCAACATAGCCTGAGCCATGAGAAGCACCCAAGGATGATGATAAATGATTCCCGCTGGAATGCTTGGGATTGACAATGTTGTGCTTCCTGAATGTCTTGCAATGGAGCCACTCTGATCGTGAAAATCGACAACACATTTTGTTTAGGTCTCGGCAGGATTCAGAAGCCGGATGCTTTTATATGGCCAACAATTTTGCATTTTTCCAAGCTGAGATATGATGACAGAAGGGAGAACACTGGGATCATCCTTAATGCAATTATTGCCTCATGTATGGGTAGTCTTGCATACTGAAGCGACATCTCTCTAAAAAACTTTTGGATGTACTATACTTAATCCTCTACACGGGACCAGATTGCAAAGAGGGACCGAAAGCAAGATGGCCGCCTTCAGCGCATCCTCGTACGGTTGGGTGGGATGCGGAGGCATTTCAGACCATATTGCCATGCCGAGTCGAGGTTGAGCGCTCGTTCTACCCGTTTGGCTTACACCAGTAAGCCTGGCCGTGATATAGTCGGGTTGAATACAGTGGCGTTTGCCATGAATTGGGCCTGGAGGTTGGTAAACGCGTGAAAAGCGACCTTGCATTGGCTGGGTCGCAAGGGTGGAGGCTCCGCTTGAGTCTGAAAGTGGGCATCGGTCTCGACGGAAACTTTGGTCAGCATGGAATATTTAATGGATCGTGGTTTCACTTCTATTGCTTGGAGCGTCGATACCGGATCTAGGTGTGGTCAATCCATGCGCCGTTGAGTGCACCCGTCACGCTATCCACAACGATCTTCTCTACGTTCCCATAGGACTAGGGGAAGTAGGCAGTCTTGCACCCCAGCACGAGAAGCAAGGCAACTGCTTTTGGTCTAAGTTAGGCCTTGGGTAGTCTTACAGTCATGGAAATAAAATTATCTTAAATTGTTTCACTATTCAAATAAAATAATAGGCATATGACTGGTTATGTTCTGCATCTTTCCATGCTCTCTCATTCACTCTCTTCTGAGCTACATGTAATGGATGCCAGTATGGTAAGGGTCAGGTTAATAGCAGTTTTTTTCTTTTTTTCTTGTTAAATTCCTCAGGTGTTCGGGATCATGCACTAATGTATTCCACACGTGGGGAGTGTGCACTGTGTTGCAAGCAGAAGTGTAGTCTTATTTTAAAATATGGGCATTTCCATGATAATTGAGCTTATTATAATTTTTTATAACATAAGTATTTGCCAATTACAGAGGATAATAGATAATATATGCCATAGGTAGTATATATGACATGAATAATATAGAGTATAAATAAATATTAAAGATGGCAAAATTTGTTAGAAGAAAATAGGTTCCTGAGTGCCCAGCCTTGCCTAAAGCCTGACTCCGCCACTGATTGTAGGCATGTTGATTATGTATAAATAATCAGATGTAGATTATCATTTTTTCAGTTTTCTCCTATATGGTTTCAGTTTGTATTCAATGAATGAGAACTCTGAACCAGTCTGAAATTTTAGTTCATCAGTTTAAAGACTCATTTATTGAATATAAGGAGAAAATAGACTTTAACCTTGTGATAGAAATTAAAAATAGCAAAAGTAAACTGAACATGTCCCATCAAAGTCATTGCATAACATTTCTGCAGCCTTTACTTATTCATGCATATACTGAAACAATGTCTCTCATTGTCAGGCCTAAGAAGAGTAATGGCCCCATAGCATTCTTAATGATTGCATATGTTGACACAGCTGATTTCCCTGATCTCCTCTTTCACAGATAGGCGTGCCTGTAGCCGAGGCCAAATTATTGGAGGCCACAACGCTCTCCTGAGCGTAACAAGCCTGTGAAATCATGTCAGGTAGAAATAAGAACCTGAAGAATTTGACTTTGCCTTCTACTGTTGCAGCCACAGAACCCCCTGAGACAACCACTCCTGGAGCTGCAGATGCTGTGGAGTGAGTTGACTCATGTCTTGCTATTTTTTATATGTAGTGATTGTCCTTTGAGCTTAAAATTTTACAACTGGTAGTTTAATGGTCAATCCTGGTCTTCTCTCTCTGTGGTGAGGGTACTGTTGAACTTTGAAAAATCACTCTGTTCTAATTATCAGCTTGAGATAAAATTCTTCAATCATAAAATCTTTGCAAGTTTTCATTCACATGCACCAGCAGCATGATCCTTCAAGTGTACTTGTTTAATAGTCTTAAAAATATTAATCTTCCTTTTGAATATAAAATCATTTCATGATTGTAGGATATTTTCAAAGCCTAGAATTACCTGCTGCTGTACATTTTGAAATCCATCATAAAATAGGATTTCTGAATGTGTCTGTATTCATTCTCTGAATGCATATTGCATTATATGTAAAATCCACATAGCCATTTACCTGATTGCCTCTGATGTAAACTTTTTTAAATACACATAATTTCCAAGGGCATTAAGAGAACTTGAAAGGATGTTAACCTCATCACTCAAGATTAATTGAGACAGCACTCATTAGCACTCAAGTGATCACCGCCTGATAGGACATCAGCTATTTTTGACAATATTCAAGTTATATGCTTCACTATACATAAAAAAGCACTTGACCCTGGAATCTGAAAATTAGTTTAACTATTAGCAAATTTTCTTGCACAGAGAGGAGGCTGGAGTCTCCTTTTGCAGAGCAAATCTGAAAAATAGTGTTGATTAGTTTCTTGATGGACAAACGAAATTTCATAAAAATTTAAAAGGGGTCAGGTCATGTTTCTCCTTTTTTTAGTGTTTATTTGACATGGATGACCCATAAGGCTTCTTAAACCACCAATTTTAGCATCATAAAGGTTTTCTATTCATCTCTGCTCTATCCCACAACCACATGCACCATCAAGGCATCTTTTATCACCCCCACTGCCAATATATTCTAAACCTCTTTTCTTTTGCTAAGAGAACTTTAGCATCGTACTTTTACCTGATGGTCAACCAGTCCTTTATTACTCAAGCATAGGTAGAAGACTTTCTTGCTAAAATTATTTTGCATTGGATGTTCTTAACAATCTGGGATAGGGAAGTTTTTAGGCTTGAGGAACTGGTCTTTTACTTCCTTGTGTTTGCTGCTTGTCGTATATCATGCTTCCCTCTATTAAACCAGGAAGCCGAGCACCAATGTCGGTGACAAATATTTTGAGGATCTTCAGAGAAAGTTGGAAGAACTGGAGATGGATGACACTCAGCGGGAGAGGATGCAGAGTTTCATGTCGATGAAGCAAAAAGCGGGTGATTTGAATGCGGAAGACTTTGAAAAGCTTGGTGAACTCGGAGCAGGAAATGGAGGGGTCGTCATAAAAGTCAAGCACAAGCCAACTGGTCTCATCATGGCCAGAAAAGTAGGAAACTTACTGATGCTCTGATTTGTAAGAAAAGTTATACTTATGAAAATAACCTTGAATGCCCTTTGCATTTTTATTGGCTCAACAAAGAAGAGGACTGAGATCATAGCCTGAGTTTCATTTTTCTTCCAACAGCTGATTCATCTTGAGGTGAAGCCAGCAATAAGGTGTCAAATCATCCGTGAGCTCAAAGTCCTCCATGAGTGCAATTCCCCACACATTGTTGGGTTTTATGGTGCATTTTACAGGTGAGGAGATGACTATTAACCATTTAGGTGATTGTAGATGATGAAGTTCTTTCTGCTTATGTGGAGAGTATTTTCTTGGGCAAACCAATAGGAAGTTTTCTATTTTTCAATTGAAACTATTAGAGTTCATGAGGAGGATGTTCAAAAGGACACTTTATTTATCTTCATTATGTATATTGCTTGTGGTATGGAAACTAATTAATTAATATGCACTTCAAACCTAACTCCAGAAATTGAGACAACAAAAATATTGTTGCAATGAGACAATGCCAGACCACTTATGCCCCATGCAATCGTTGATGCAATGAAACAATTGGGGTTGGCACCAATGTTGCACCCTCCTGATAGTCTTGACTTGGCTCTGTTAGACTTCAGATAAATGAAGCTTTTCTCAAACTTTCTTTACTTTTTCAAAGTGAGAAAGTTTTGAAGTAAGGTTTGTCAGTGGCTTTCATCTCACTGGCAGGACTGTTTTCAGAGCCAGTTTCAGTGCCCTCCTTCACCAGTGGCATTAATATCTAGATATTAATAAAATGTTGTTGTTGAAAATATATAAATTTAATAGAGGAAGGTTTAAAGTACATACCTCATAATTTTCAGTTTTCAAAATATTATACAAAATAAGAGATAAAATGCATGATTTTACATTTTAATAACCCTCAGAAATTCCCCTGCAGATCCATAAGCTTCAAAAATTCTGCAGGAGATAATATTCAGTGATTATAATTATCCCCCCTTTTCTTATTATGTATTATCTATATTCATCTTTAATTTGGTTTAGTGATGGCGAGATCAGTATTTGCATGGAGTACATGGATGGGGGCTCCCTTGATCTCATCCTTAAGAAAGCAGTGCGCATCCCTGAGCCAGTCCTGGCCAAAATCACCTCGAATGTGAGTCTCCTAGAATGAATGATTTGTGACTGCCTTGCTGGAGATCCCTCTAATGTCATATTTCTTTCCCGCAGGTTCTTAAGGGACTGAATTACCTACGAGAGAAGCACCAGATCATCCACAGGGATGTAAAACCAAGTAACATCCTGGTCAACTCAAGAGGAGAGATCAAGATTTGCGATTTTGGTGTCTCAGGACAGCTCATTGATTCCATGGCAAATTCCTTTGTTGGCACAAGGTCCTACATGTCGGTATGGGGTGTCTCCTTGCAGTATTTGGCCATGTTTCCTTTTGGTGTGCATTCTCACAGTGGTCAGGTATGGATGTTTCAGCCAGAGAGACTTCAAGGTACTAACTACAGCGTTCAGAGTGATATTTGGTCCCTGGGACTGAGTTTGGTGGAGATGGCCATTGGGACATATCCCATCCCACCACCGGACCCTGAAACCCTGGCTCAGATCTTTGGTCCTAAGTTCAAAGAGTATCCAGATAACATGAACCAGCCCACACCCTCAACCCGGTCCCCCAGATCTAGTAAGGCATGACATTGTCTTCATCAAAGGTGTCTCAACTATAAAAATGCTTCTTGATTCTTTCACTTGTAGAGAGGATGATATTAGCAGAGCATAATTTTGAAACAAGCAGGTATAAGGCTATTGCTGTTTGAAGCACCCAAAGATGGTCTCATTAACCCTTTCACTGGCTGGCAGAAATTTAAGCTTCAGCCATTATGGCAAGAAATTCTCATGGAATCTAGCAGCAGTACACTAACAACACACTACAATCACTCTCATGTTGTTGGTGGTCATCATCAGGTACCATTTAGTCATTATCACACTCACTAACTTACAGAACACACAGAATAGGGACAGAAAACCATATGCATCAGGTGACACCGATACCAGTGAAGTGGAAGGGTTGATGTCCAGCAGTGAATACCAAAGTGAATGTCTCGAGTTGTATCTTGCCAGAAGAAAAATTTTCTTCAGCAATTATGAAATTATCTAATCCAAGTTCCCTCTACTTCAGAAGTAAATTTTCTCACTCCTGAAAATTTATTTTCTGTGTAATTATTCAGAGTGCAGGGAAATTCTTGGTTCCTGAATAATGACATATCCAGGGCACCTTTTTGTCCCCCTATTTTTCCTTTTGGTCTTATGAGGAAACCAGTCAAAATATTGCAGCTGTGAGTGACATTGCTGAAAGACATTCCAAGTGTATGAATCAGGTCAGATGTTTAATCGAATTGCATAAGTCTGCAAGTTTGAGACATTTGTGGAAAAAGAAGAGCATTATGAAATGAATGAATTTCCTGTCCATCAGGAGCTGACAGCTATGTTCTGTCTCATTCAGGAGAAAAGATTGTGTATACCTCTACTTTAATGTGTTAACTCTAGAACTACTGGAGTGGTCATTTTGGCCACTCTAGGTTTTTAAATGCACTTAACTCCACTCATTCAGCAACTAGGGGCCTATGCATTTTTTACTTTTCTCATCCACCATCCACAATTGAACATTTTGAATATACCTAATATCATCTGGAAAATAAAAACAAAATTTTACAGAATAATGGTTTTATACTACTTTTAATGCAGCAGTCAAAATTACTCCTGACAATTCAATTGTTAATATTTTGTTTCATTAGTGGCATTTGTGAGGATGTCAGACATAATGTGCATGCCCATCTAGGCAGTTTCTTCAGCTTCCCTCAACCAAACTCCTTACAGACTCATTGGTAGCCTGTATGGATTTTTCATATTTAATTTGTTTCATATTTCTCATTTCCCCCCATTTAATTTGATGTTTTTTGTGATTAAAGGTCAGTTCGGGTGTGCACCAGTGAATGATCCAAGACCAATGGCCATTTTTGAACTTCTGGACTACATTGTGAATGAGCCACCACCAAAGTTGCCCTCTGGGGTCTTCTCACCTGAGTTCAAGGCCTTTGTAGATGGATGCTTGAAGAAGAATCCTGCTGAGAGACCCGACCTCAAATCCCTTATGGTCAGACATTTCACAATGATTTTTTTTTTATTTGATGCATTTACTGTGTAGTTTTACTGTGTAACAATTTTCTATAATCACCTAAGTATTTTTTCCTAATGTGAATTAATAATTTTTTGTTCTGAAATAATAGATGCACCCCTGGGTCAAGAATTCAGTGGCACTAAATGAGGTGGACATGGTGATCTGGGTGCGCTCCATGATGAACATTCCTCAATCCTCTGTCTGAGAGACTCTGTGATGACATGTCTCTATGCTGCCCTCTTCCTTCTCCACATAATTGGCACTGCAATCGCAGTCATGCATTGTGTATCTCAACTACTGTTGTGATTGTGATACGTGTGGGGTCGGTTGGATGAGACAGTCAAGGTTGTGAGAAGCACAGTCTCTCTTCGTGATTTTTTAAGTATTGATAGCTCTCTTTCATCAACTTGTTTTATAGCAAGAAGGGAGACAATAATGCTTATAGTTGTGGTGTAGGTTGAAGCAGGGACTTATGCAGTACTTGATTGATAGGAATATTGATACCCAGCACTTTATCGGTTTGATAATATTGCGGAATCAATTCATGCATTATTACCACAATATTATAAGCTTCCTGCTTTCTGATCTCGCTTGTCACTGATGTCTGGATTCTGCATGATTTGCCAAGTCTAGAACATCATTGACAAAGTTCTACCTGTTGTTGAATAAATTTTTTTTGCTAGGCAAGGTAGGCTTTTTGGCGTTGAAATGTGCCATTGCTTAAAATGTCCACAGTCTTCATAGAGCCAGCTAGGGATTCTGTTGCTCTATACTGGTGGAATTTTCCATCAAAATTCTGGTCCTCTTGAGTCTGGACTGAGGAATGTCTTTTCCAGTTTCAAATTTGAATTTTCTGAATTTCAAGTTCCATTATGCTTATATAGTAATCTTGATAAGTGAGCCTATTATCACACAGAAGACAATGTCTCTGCTGTTCCCTTACTGATGAGGGACCAAGTCCCACAGTCCTTGTAGCTTTTCAATTGCTTTTTGGCATGAAATGACGTAGGTGTTCCTCACATTCCATCAGGAAAGCATATTTCCTTCTTCCCTCTTTTCTTATATCACATGGATTGAGGTTCAGATTACACTTTCCCGCAGAGGATCATTATTGGCATTGTATTTTTTATAAAGGCAATAGTGGAATCAGAATCACATATTGGATAGCAAAAACTTTTCAGTAGTGCTGTTTTTGTTACATGCAAATCAGATATGGGATATGCATCTCTGCATTGGTGTTAGATGTTGTTGAAACTCATGCAAATTATGCTTCAAACTTTATTGACACTCCTGTATTGCATCTGCTCTGATTGAACCATCATCATTGGTGTCAAGGCTTACATTTCATTTGAGTGACTGCATCTGCAGACCCAATTATGAATTATTCACTGTATGCTGACCCTTTGCAAATACTGTATATGATTCCACTATTGCCTGATGTGCAAATATCTGAATTGTAAACTGTACAGCTGAAAACTGCTTTCAATGACCAGCTGAATAGATTGAAATGGCTTTCCACTACTTTTGCATGCATCGAAGTTTCAACAAACTAACTCTCATGGAAGGGGACTGTCCATGTGTAGGAGGGAGTCTCCATCTGGTGCATTTGGAAATGCCTCAGTCATTGTATATGTTGAGGAACGAGGAAGGACTTGGCTTTTTTTTTCTTCTCTCAGCTGCAGGTATCACTTCCTGATGGGCGAAGGTATCTGTAGGGAGCATTTGGGAAGTATCCATACACTCCTCTTGTCATTTGCACTTTACAGTTTGAGAAAAGAACTATCATGAGCTTGTTAGATTGGTTGTAACGAATGCAACCTGAGGCATATTCGAACAATGAATGGATTCCTCTGGAATTGGTTTTGGTTACTATTGCTTTTACAGCTCAACCACTGAGGCATCCTAGAAACTGTTTCCCATCATACATCTCTCCATTTTTGTCAGACCTGTGCTTGATATTTGTTGGCACTCCTCATTCGCTTTATTTTCATCTCGTCCAGCCCCTTGCTCACGTTCTAGTCGCATGAGGAACGCCTTGCAGAAAGAATGGGTGGAAACCATGCAATATTCCATGATTTTATTGTGAATCACTCTTGAAGTCTCTCTCTGGCTAAATGTTTTTTTTTTTCATGCTTAGCCATTCAAATTATCTTAAACCTGTATTTCCTCTTTATGTAGACCTTTTTTCTTCTTTTTTTTTTCACTGAACTCTGAAGCAATCACGATTGCCAATTTTCTTGTTAGGAGAACATTGCCATTCCACAGCTTTTCAGCAGTGACATCATTCAGATGCGCCTTCTAATCAATCTTGCTCATGATTGTGCTCATATCTTAATACTCTTACTCCAGGATGAGCATATTTTCTAGGCTTGCAGTAAGAATCCAGTGAAGTTCGCCGTCTGGCTGAGACGATCCCTGAACCTGCAGGTTTTTTTTTGGTGGTGGGGGTGGGTGGGAGTGCGGGTAGTGTTGGATATCAAAACAATGGAATCATCTTGAACATTTCTTTCCAGTATTCTCCATTTTGAGTGCCGAAATTCCGCACAAGGACGTCGGTGCCAATGCCAAATAATAACCCTTTTTATTGAATGTTTTCCTTATCATGGAGACATTTTGTTTCCAATTAGATTTTCTAAAAGCGAAATATCTAAACCCTGTCTGGAAAATGTGTTTTCGTGTCGCTTGTGATCATGTTTGCCTGGCGAAATGTCCTAATGCTTCTGCTTTCGTGTCGGTGGTGCATGGGAACGTCTATTTGAATGGCATATTTGTACTCGTTCGCAAGATTCGTACCTTCGGTGAATTGTGTCTTTTCTCCTCGTGTCATCGATGGCGATTTTGGAATGGTTCCATGACAGGGTCGACGGAGCCCGATATGGATTTGTGATTTTTAATAAAAATGCTTCCCCTTATCCTTCTCGAGTCGTGGGAAACATCACGGAGAGGAAGTGGGACCCTAATCTCGTTATTTCGGGGGGTCAGATCTCAATCGTTTCCCAGATGGAATATCCAAGCGTGTGTGAGTGTGTCTGAGAATTGTGACCCAGAGTCTTTTCAGAATAGAATAAAAAGCCTCCATGCCCTGTCCAAGTGTCCACCATTTGCGTTTCCTTTTTTTCTCTTTCCTACCCTCGAAGGTGTGACAAAGAGGGTATATTTTTCTCTCTCCCCCGTCGACAAAAGGGGAGGAAGAGAAAAATCCCCCTTTTTCTATAGGCTTATGGTTATGGGCATTCCTTCCATTGAAGCGGAGACGGGACGAGCCCTCGGGGTGCGAGAACGAGGCGCGATAAAAGGGGAAGAGAAACAGCCTTTGACTTCTTTTCAATAGGGATTTGACTGAGAGGGAGGGAGAGGCCTAGATTCGTGCGTGCGGGGGTTGTCATGCGGCCAAGAGAGGCTAGGCTTGGCCTAGACAGCCTGACGCTCGCTCAGTCCGCTCCCATCGATCGTCTGCGCCGGCTGTCGCTGTGCACCCCGTTCTTAAAATCCGTTTGCGGGGGGTACGAGTGATGACCAGGCCGGGAAGATATGGGCCTTTTCGGATGTCCTCGTGGGTGAGTTTATTTTTGGATTTCCGTTCGGCGTCGCGTCAAAGGCTCTCTAGGGGGGTGCTTCTTTTACGTCTGTTTTCGTCGTTCGAGTGCGAAGATGGGTTTTATATATTTGTTTTGGCCGGGTTGCTGCCGTCGGGGCTGTTCCGTTGCGATTCGAAGGTTGATGAAAAATAGAGATAGAGGAGAGTAAGTGGTGTGGTTCGTGTTTCTCGACTGTTTGAGGTGTTTCGTGTCGGGCCCGTGGTTTCTGGCCTACGGATGGGATTCCCTCGATTTACCTCAAACTAATAGCCTCGTTGAAATGACATCCTGGGAGGAGAAAACGAGCACCATTTGGAGGGGCTCTGGACATAAAACATCTCATCTCCCCTCGTGCTCGACCACGGGCTATTATCAAGAGGATCGGAGGGAAAAGAAGGCACTGGAGAGGTTGTTTAGCGTAATTGGATTTTTGCCCCCTTCCTACAATTACATCCAGCCACAAAAATATGGTTGGAAGGTGTCGCTTTCCCCCTCCTCCTTGCCCGAGGGGGGACTGCTCTGTTCCTTCCCCCCTCCCAGGGCGAGCACTTCTCAAATGAATAGCTCCTTGGTGAGAGAGGGAGAATGCTGAATCGAACATGCCCTTCAGTCATTCTATACTCGTGCGAGAGGCGCAGACGGGGTTTCTATTCGGGCCGCAATGCGGGACGGTGGCCACTACGGTCCCGCGGAACTTCTCGGAGCGCTGTGGGGTCTCTACCGATGGGGGCTAGCGAGGGGTGGTGAAGCCAGCGACCGTGGGTCTGAGCAGCGGGAGCCCCCGCTGTTCCTCGCTCCTCAGTCTCTGCTCGGCCTTTGTGTTCGTCGTTTCCTTTCACATGTTTGTCTCGCTGGTCTCCGCCGCCCTCTCGCCCTTCCTGCCTCCTCGTGTGGTAAGGGAATGCATTCCCGATCGGATCCACTCGGTCACGCGTCGGTGTGAGATGAAAGTTTCATGAGGTTTCGTGGTTCTCTCGTGAGTGCGACCTTCGACAGGGAAAACTCGGGACGAATGTTAATGCCTTAGGCCCTAGTCCCGGGAACGGGAAACTCGAATCGCTTCTACGCGGCAATGACCCGAATGTCTGTCTAGGTTGAAGCCCCTGACGCGATTGAAAAACGTCGTCCTTGGTGGAATGAACCGATTTCTTGCGCGAGTCTTGTCACACGATCCGCGTCTGCGTGTCTGGTTCTCGTCATTCCCTCCCGTCACCGTTGAACGTTCCTGTCTGTTTCAGATTTGATTCCAGGTGTCGAGTATGGTTAAACGAGGCCGAATCCGGCCTCCTGAAGGCGATGAGTGAAACAAATCGTCTCGCCTCCCCGTACCTCCTTCTCTGGCTCCTCCTCATGTCCGGTGAGTGGTCTTCTCGTTAACGATGGGTGGGGAGTCGTGCGTCTGGAAGGGAAACACGAGACTCGAGTCTCGGATTTCTCGTTCGCTCCGCAGTTCGACGGAGACGTCGGAAGGGATGTGGATTTTTCCTCGCATTTCGTTCCGACCTCGGCGTCACAGGTGTTCGGATTCTTCGCGTGCTCGGGGAGGGCCGGTGAACGATCGTCGCAATGATCTCTCTTCCGAATCCGGTTCTCCCCGAACGAGGCCCTTGAACCTGGACCTGGTGTTGTTTTCGTGGTTGGCGTGTAAAGAAAAGAAAAAAAACGAAGAGGGGAGGTGGGATGCCTGGAGGGAGTGAGAGAGAGAGAGAGAGAGAGGCCAGGCGGGAGTAGCCGATCGCATCCCCGCCCCCATCTCCGCTTTGGCCTCATCACTTTCCACGCACACTCTTAGGCGATCGGGAATTAATTCCACCTGCCTTTCGGCCTTGTCCCCTCTCCCTTTTCCCTTCCCACTTTTAATCAGTACACGATTCCGGAATTACGCCGCTCGTGTCGCGCCTCCCCCCTCCCTCCCACGTCCGGTTGTCTGCTTGCCTCGTTTTCGCTCGCGCCACCTGGAGATCGTGTCGAAGTGGGAGAAGATATATGGAAGGTCTATCGAGTTCATCAGATAAAACTCGCGGATTTATTGTGATCGGACAGGACGAAGCCTGGAACTGATGCCTTTTTTTTTGCATGCATTTGCTACTAAATTTTAAGGGTGGATTTTTGAACAGAGGATTATCCGATAATGCAGCTTTATTCTAAGGAAAATACATATTTCCGGGAAATAAACACCATTATCCGATAGATCTCATTAAAAAAATCCACCCTAAATCGAAATGGAATTAATCCCCGATCGCCTAAGAGTGTGCGTGGAAAGTGATGAGGCCAAAGCGGAGATGGGGGCGGGGATGCGATCGGCTACTAAATCGCTTCTCGGCGGTTTTGGCCGTACTCCTTGTTGAGTGTCGATACGAGATGTCGAGATATGACGTTTTCATTGGTAAAAGTTCCCCGAGAATAATTGGGAGAAGAGTTCTCTCCGTTGTTAAATTCTAATGTTCGCCAGCTGGAAGATTCAAGCCAAAATCCAGTAGCCGGGGAAAATTCTTTGGAGAGAGAGTTTCATTTTCTACCATTGCCGCCAACATCATCAATTCGATGTAAATACCCTGCTGGAGTATGAGTGGCCCCTTTTCGGAACGGAGGCCAACTACGACATAGCTCCCATGTTCGTCTCCGTTTCCTATCCCACTCGGCACATCGTATTCGGAGAAATGCCGATCCAGGTGGACGTTATTGCGCAACCGCGGACACGAGGCCCAGCAGTCTGGCAGGCCTTTCTGTTGTGAAACACTCGAGATTTCCATGAAGAAATTAGTTTTATGGTACGCCTCTTCCGAAAGGAGGGTGCATTATGAAAGCAGACGCGAAACGGCTGCAGCTTTTGTCGAAGGAAATTGCCTCTTTAGGCCGCTCGAACCGTAAGGAAGCCTGTAGTCACGCCCGCTACGTTTACTGGAAGCCAGAGCCATCGTGCGATTGAACCTCTTCGATGATAGCCGTACGAGGCTGTTTTCGTTACTCGAGCGATTGTACGATGAGGATCTCAGCGATGTCGACCTAAGACGCAAAACATTTTCACGTAAATTGACTCTCGGAGTCGTGAAAAATGAGGATCTTTCAGTTGGTTTTTTTGTATTGCTGAGTATAAGTAGAAAGCTTTCATATTTCACGACATGTTTGAGATCTTAATCAGAAAAGAAGGAAATATTTTAACCCCGATGGCCGAATTTCATTCAATACCCTTGTCGTTACACATCTGGTGCCGTCTGTGCCTCGATGACTGCAACTGATGATTGGATCGTACGGCAGGTGTGGTGAGTGCCCGGGGACGGTGCCTGGTGGAGCAGTGCTCGTACGAGTATACGCGGTCGCTGGGTCCCCACTCCCCGGCCCCGACCCCCCTCTACTGCAGGATCCTGCACGAGTACACGGAGTGCATCCGGGGGACGGCGCGCTCTTGCCGGGGGGACCTACAGTTCCACATCTCCTCGAGGGCCGTCGCCAGTTTGAACTCCCGCTTCAACTGCGCTGCCGTGCCGGGAACGGATCCGCCCCCAGTGTGAGTTCCCCGTGTCACCGTCTTGCGTATCGATTTGGTGCAAATCCAAATCGCCCGTCCAAATGTGCTTTCGGTGTGATAGGAATTTTTGTAGCATTTCATTTTCGTAAATTTGAAAATGGGAATCGAACGATATCGATGACTGGGATTTTCCTGGGATTACAGGCCTCGATGCACGTACGATCCTGTTGCTGGGCTTCGGAAGATGCGAAGGAGAGGGAACGGAGACAAGAGGCACCCTACGTCCAAGTCCACCCATGCCCTCTGTGCTCTTTTCGGGGATCCTCATCTGCTCACGTTCCAAGGGGAGATGCAGACGTGTGGGATTCCCAGCGCATGGCCTCTCCTGGACAATCAGTTCCTCACCGTCCAGGTCACATCCAGCCCCGTCTGTGATGGCTGCTCCGCCACTGCACCCACCAAGGTCCCTACCTCTGTTTGTCGGCCCGATTGCATGTTTTCGACATTGCACTAGCTCTTCGAAACCGCTGTGCGCTATGTGTTTATTCTCCGAAGAATTTGAGCAGCTTTTCAGGCACTGTAAATTTTGTGTCGAATTGGTTTGCGTAATTCGTGAGATGAGGGAGTACGTATACAATTTTGTCATTTTAAAGAGCGCAACCTCTGTCGTCGAAGTTGCCGTCAAACTGATATGTTTCTTTAGACGAAACATTCCCTGTATGAAGTAGTCTCGTTCTTGGTCCTTCAGGTGGTGGTCCTAGTGAAGAAAGAGGAGAACTGTACACCCCAGGTGACATATGAAGCTCTGGCTGGTGCCTCGTTGCCCGGAGAGTTTGTGGGTGGTTCCACACAACTGGGCATGGATGGTGCCGTTTCTTTAAAAGTACAAGACCAAGGACGGCATGTCGAGGTATGTTCATTTCCAGCCCGATTCCCTCCGTAAAAAAACTCACGATCGTGCACGATGAGCTTTTCCATCCTTTTGCGCTTGCAGGTGCTGGTTCGACACGCTGGGACGATAGTGGTGATCCGTCGCATCGGAGACTGGCTGTCTACATCCATCAGAGTGCCTTGGGAGTACACCGGAGACGTAGACGGCCTCCTCCTCTGTTCCCAGGGCTGTCCCGCGTCTCAACAGATTCACGGTTGGTCCGATTCCAAGTCCCGTGTGAACCTCAACTTACCTCAGTGGAGACGGGGGCTCGCCTGGGAGGACGTCTTGGACGTGTGTCACCGGGAGGACCTCAAAGGTTTCTTCCTCGACGCGTGTGCGTTCGACCTTCTCACCACCAGTGATACCAGTTTCGCCACCGCGGCGCGTCAAGCTCAGACGGACTACGAGCAGGTTCATCCCGGCCGGGAGTTGTGGAACACGACGCGGTTGAACCCGATGGACTTCCCCGTCACGTCGGGGGTCATGCCTCCACACGGCCCGGGAAGGCCTCTCTTCGCTTTGCTCTTGGTGTTCCTACTCCCCTGGCTTCTTTCATCCAGAAGACTATGAGAACTTTTTTTCATGTGCTCAAGGGCTGTGGACTGGATACGGTGTGTCACATCGGGAGTCATAAAAATGGGTCTGGCCGGTGTCCAGCTCCCGCTGCTTCCCCACGAAATCACAAGCCACTACCTCCTTCCCCTCAGTTCGCACACTGTGATTCTTTCCCCCGTATTTTTCGTCCCTCTTTCCCCTGATTTAATTAATTCTCTAGTGTAAAAGAGGTCATTCTATTTTCCTTCTTTTTTTTGAGATGACTGTGATCTTTGTCGAGGAGAAACGAGCTTCAAGTGACTCTATGCAAGTTAGTGTGCCAAATTTTTTTTCTGCTCCCTTTCCCTGTCCCATGTCTTTTTTGTTACAAGGAGCCTCTAGTCAAGATCCAGGCAATAAAGAAAAACTTTTAAAAAGTTACTGGAGTCATGAAATGGGTGTTCTTTCAACAGGGACCCCCGCAACCTCCATAAATATATGAGGGAAGGACGGAGTCCAAGATAAACAGCCAGGGAATCTTCCATTTGTCAGCCTCGCTGGAGCTGTACTGATGAGTGTGATTTGAACGCGTGTAAGCTCTTGCCTTATTGAAATTCCAGGACATCAGTTACTACCATACGACGGGTCGAGCCCTTCCTGGTAAGGACTCGACCTCGTCTTGAACTGATGCGATTTAAGATGTTCGATTCACGAAGCCATTTTAATTCTCGATGGCCGTCTTCGGACGAGTGTGGAGCGTGAGGCGACTTCGTTCACGTAAAAGAAATCACGTACCTATTGTATCAGAGAGCGAGAAGAGGAACGAGAGCAAGTTGTTTTCCCCTCATCTTGCAGCTGACGGGGAGATGAGGTTCATCGACTGGTTTCGCCAGGCCGGACCGGTTCGGGTCGGGTCTGTTGGGACTCCCGCGGCCCGCCCGACTCCCCTTCCTCGTTGCCATTCGGAACCGACACTCGATCCGGAGTCTACCGAATCGCGCCAAACATGTGGTCGGTGCACGTGAGAATGGAAAGGATGTCTTCTCCACGAGAGCGTTTCTTGCGTGGCGTCTACCACGCGAGAAACTCATCCACTTCCCCGATGAAATTACGTCAGGAATCCCTGGAGCATTTTTCACGTACGAGTCCGAAGAATCGGAAGTTCCATTCCCCGCGACCGATCTCGTGGGCGAGCTTCGTACTGTGACTCTCGGTCTCGATCGTGGGCGTCGCCAACGGTAACACGAGAAGGGATGGGCAACATTCTCAAACAGGCGAAGACCTGAGGACGACAGGTCACACCAATGGTCTTTTCCCGCGACTCGTGACCCGCGAAGGGTGACATACACCAGATCCATTTAACTTGAAATTGATTCGTTTTCATAATGGGCGTGTATGGGAATAAGTTTATCTCTGTTAAACGGATTCCCATGGAGAACAATTGAGATTAGATTAGTTAGCTTAAATGGATTCGGTGCATGTCACCCTTAGTTCGCTCGGTCTCACGCGCCGAAGTCGTCGTGAATCCCGATTTGAGCCCGAGGACCGGTCGATACACGCAGGAACGAACCTATATTGTTCGAGGCAAAGGTGAATGAAACCCGTGGAAACTCCGGATCCGAATGGGAGTACGAAGGGGATTTGCCCGCGTGAGGTCCCGAAAAATTATTTTAGAAAAATGAATTTCTCTGACGATAATTCCTCGGCATACGCACAGAACTTCATTTATGTGAGACTTTAAGGGGGGGGGGGGATTCCCACCAAGTACCAATGCTCCCCTAGGGATCCTCACTGGTAAGAGAATTGCCCTCCCGCAAATCGGGTGCCCTTTTGCGGGACGCCATAAGTAACCAGGAAGTTCATAGATCAGAATATTTTTATTTATTTAAGTGGGTGCTTGTGTCCCCCGTCCCCACTCTTGCCCCATTGGTGGCCCTTTCCTAGAGTCCTTGTAGAAACTGAGAAATTGGAATCTTCTCATCGGCCGTATTGCATCTATACATGCACCTGTCACCTGACATTTCTCAGAATTGAAACAGGATCTGGAAAAATCGAAAGTTTTTTTTTTTCCCGGAGCATACGTGAAGCAGTACTACTGGGAATTCCACTCACTCCATATCAGTTTTTTTATATTTATTTTAGGAACAGGACGGTTTAGCGTTCTCTTTCCGCTCCGACGACACGCGTAAAAATCGTAATTTAAAATGCGGAAAGGAGCCAAGCCAGAAACCTGCAAATAAGAACGCGACTGCAATGCAAAGAGCGAGCGAAAACATACTTGCAAGGACGACAAAGTGGGTCCGAGGGAAGAGACTTTCTACGAAGGAACAGGTCGATCTGGATTCCCAATCGAAGACGCCGGGCGCATATCAAGGAAGGAATGCCGAGGACTGCATTCTACCCGTCGTCCTTCCTTCGCTTCGTGCAGGGTTGCATCGCGGAGAGGGGAACACAACATGACAAATCTCGCCCTGTCACTCGTGACGAATGATCCCGCCGGCTCACTTTCAAGATTTTTTTATATTTTATTATTCCGACTTTTTTCCCATCGTCCTCGGTTCATTTTTTTCCCTCTCCCCGATGTTTTTATGAAGTTGTCATATCGACGGGGAATAATGGTCTGCATCGCGATGAGATCGCAGGGGAAGATACGTCGGAGAGTCGAATACGCCCCCGGGGCCTCTTCCTCTCATTCCGCACAACTGGGCCTGCTGGCTCCAGCGCGCGTGTGAAAGGGAGAGGTCTATTCCCGACCGAACGGAAGGGAAGGGAACACAAAGAAGAAAGAAGCTGGGCTGGGCCTTGCAGTTTGACACCTCCCTACGAAAAACAAGTGTTTCTTCCCTAGACTCCCATATTATCCTCCCCTCGGTCTGGTCTTCCAGCGGCGGACCTGCACGAGGGGAGTGGGACCAGTAACACCTTTTCCTGATTAGGAGAAAGAAACGAGACCGAACCTGGCATTTTCTTATCTGGATTGTGAGTATTTATTTTTTTCGAAGAGTGACTATGTAGGTTGGAAGCAAACTTAATTTAATAACGACGAAGGAAAAATTGAATATGTTGTCGTTGCTTTGAGTTTTCTCCGTTTTGTTTCGTCGCAAACAGGTCGATTAGCCATATTTGTCACGTTTTTAAATTCCTGATGGAAATCGTGTCAATGGAAAACACTGCATTGTAATGCGATACGGCATGAACAAAGAGGTCCGCCCTTGTATCCCACCCCTTTTTTTTTTCTTTACGCCCAGGGCTCGGAACAAATTGGAGAGGCGATAAATACCTGATGCTGCCCTGAGGGCATCCCTGCCGGCCATTCTCACCCTTACGTCCCCTCGACGGAGGATCGAGTATCCCTCGTCCACTCCGTCCCCTGTTTACAGGCACAAAGCCACCGCCCACCTAATGGACCGTGATCATCATCGGGGGACTTCTCCCTTTCAGTGTAATCGAGTGCATCCCCCTCAATCACATACGGGATTACGAATGGCCTCTTTCGATATCCTTTTCATTTTCGTCCATCGCGGCCCACCCACGTATCGAAAGTGGGAAAAACATTCTACCGCGTTCGAGGTTAAAGGTCGAATTAGGGGACCGAAGGAGCTTCTTTTTTATGGTTTTTCCTGTCAGACCCTAATCCTGATGGATCGGGTATTCCTCTCTCTCTCTCTCCCTCCCATTTTCTCTCTTTCTGGCGGGCCTCACAAAGAGGGGATTGTCGGTCTGTTCCCACCTGCACGAAGTCTTCCACGACTGCTGCTTTCAGACTCTACACAGACCGCCCCACGGTTTCTTGGCTTTTCGTGCCAATTTTGTGCGCCACTAGGTACGAGGGAGAAAAATCCATGCTAAACATAATCTATTGATTTATTTTCGTCTCCATATTCGTTGACGGCTGGTTGTGATTCACGATGGATCGAGCCCCACGGAACGAATGTAGCCCCTGCGGGTTGCACTTCTCACTTTCTCAAGGTTGACACCTGGGCTTGGCTGTTGAGTCGTGCGCAGGTGGCTATCACATTCGACCAGGTGTGTTGTGAGGGTTTTTTTTTTTTCTTTATCTTCATCTCTTCATTTCTCGGTCGTCCGGTTCCCCGCTCCCTTTCTCCGTATCTTCGATAAGATAACTCGAGGAATGAGAGTCTTCGTATTTGGTCTCTCTTGTTTCCCTCGCCCGGAAAGGGGCGGTGAGAAAAAATCTCCTAGGTGAACGATAACGAATGAAAGCACTCCTCTCCAACCGAATCGGCATGCCGAGTGAAAAAGGAAACAAAGAGAATTTACGGACTCGACCTTATTTTAAGCGACCCTTTTTGTGTTCGTTCCATTAATCCATTTCCTCCCGAAACATTTTCTGGTCAAAATTACCCCACTGTAGGGTAAAACCATCTAAGTTCGACCACCGTAAAATAAATTGTAACATAACAAAGCATTTGTGAGGTCACCCTCAGAAACAACTCTTCAAAGCTGCGAAGAGCTGTTTCTAAGGGAGAGCTCACCCATGCTTCGTTTTGTACGATTGTACGTGATAGTGTCAGAACTTAGGTACTGTCCAAACATAGATGGTTTTACCCTATACTCATCATATATCAGTTCAGAATGATTTTTCGCAAACCGGCGGTTTGCAGGATCTGAAACGATTTGGATCGCATTCGAGTCCAGGATTGAATAGATTTAGATTGAAGTTTAGCAGAGGCGAGGAACTGGCCCCAAGTGTACGCAGATTCCCACGATGAACCGAATGAACTTAGTCCGAAAAGAGGCGAGGTGGTCCAGAAACTCATGGAATCATTCCAAGTTCACTTTGGCCATGGAACACATCCAAGGGATTTATCCAAGTTCCTGTCTCAAAACAGCGCGCAGTGGTCGGAATAGGGGGGGGGGGGGGGGGGGGGGGGGGGAGNGGGGGGGGGGGGGGGGGGGGGGGGGGGGGGGGGGGGGGGGGGGGGGGGGGGGGGGTGAGAAGCGCAAAGCATCTGCCACCAAGTGAAAGAAATTTCTCAACAGTAATTTTCAATCACTCCACAAGGTGTCGTACGTAGTAACGCACAGATAAATTCCCGGGAGCAAAGGGTTCCACATCTCTGGAGCTCTACACCCAGACATGGCAGGAGCAAATTGCGCAGTCGAAGCAAAAAATAATGAGAGAAGGAGTAATGAAGTGAAGCCCACCGACACGCGATCACTCGTGACATTTAGAAATCGGACCAATCCATGCGGTCCACAATGAAATGGAGGTCTGCTGATGGGTCAGTTTGAGTTTCATGTGCATTGTCCATGGAGAACCGCTGAACGCATAGAGTAACCATAGGTATTACAGCTTTACTTTATTAATTGGGGTGGAAGTAGCATAAGGGGTAGAAAAGAACAGATTCTGGAGTGGGGGGATAGGAAGGGTGAGAGTGGGGATTATCTGAGCGCAGCACAGATGCAATAAAAT